GATCTCGGCTTGCACACGGGCTGGGGGGAAAGAGCAGGGATCAGGCAAGGGCAAAGAGGAAAAAAACACCTTGTAACAAGAATGATGACTTTTGTGAGGGTCCCTCAAGGGACACCCATCGTACTTTGGCCCTCTTTTGTGTGATTGCACTAGGGATTCCCAGAATTTCTTCTCAAAAATACCCAGATGTGAGGGCTAAAAAAACAGATGTGAGGGCCAAAACAATAGACGTGAGGCCTAAAAGTAGGGACAGCTGCCATGGTTTGCACCTGCTTTGAGAGAGTGCACTGGGATACCAAGATTTTTCTCTCAATTAAAGAGTCTCTTTGTAAGTGGTGAGGGCTAGAAGGAAGGAAAAACACTGAAAATTTGCTACTTGTACCTTGAATTTCTTGGTAAGTGGCCATAAACAGCAGAGCCCAGCGGAGCGTTACAGAAGTGGTCTCAGTCCCAGCAAACAGAAGGTCGAGCACACACACCACAAGGTTTTCCTCCTGCAAGCTGCCAACGCCATTGTCCTTCACAAAAACTTGAGTTAGTGCCACACAAACCCCAAGGGCTGCCTAACACCTGGCTTTGTTCAAATCAACGCCAGAGATTTTGGCAGAAGGTTCTGGCCCCTGCACCTCCATCCCACTGATGGGTGCCCTGAACCTGGTGTTCACCCTAAGCTCATAAATGGCCACACCGGCAGCTCCGATGGAGAATTTGGGCTTGTTTCCTGTCCCTCCCGATTTCTATAGCCGCTGCTGAAGGGTTTGCTCTGCATTGCTGACCTTGGCTATCTCCTGCAGGTAGCTGTCGATGAAGTCCCGGCTCTCTGAGGGGTTCCAGTCCTCCTTGTGTTTGTCGATCTTCTCTTTCACAAAGTTTTTCAACAACCTCCCGTTTTTAAAAGCAGTTTGGTGGGATCCAGGGAGGAACTTTATAATCGATGGGAAAAAATTGTAAACCTTTGGAGACAAAATGAGAAGACAACTGGAGTAGATGACTGGAAAATGCCTCGTATTGTCAAAATTTGAGGAGCCTGCAATGTCACGCTAGCTAAATTGCTGGAGTTGGTGGAAATAGCTCAGATCCAGAAGAGCTTTCCTAGGGATTGGTATTCCTATTATGGATAGACTAGTTGGCTCATGAGACTGGTATGGAGATGATATTGTGTGAGAGAGAGCAACATGAGCACTGCACATGAAATAAGGCAGAAAGAAATTATGGGCAACTCTACCCTGTGCAAAGGCAGAGGGAATGGCAATGAAATTTCATGACGAAAATGTGAAGTTGACTTCAGAAAAAGTACTATGGCCTTGCAAAACTGCACACTATCCCTGTTGTTGGCAGGAGGGCTGTACCTGGCTCATGATACTCGCTTGGAGCTTAATCGTCTCATCCATCAGCTGCAGCAGTTTTTGGAAGTCCTCGTTGTAGTAGTCAAACCGATTGCCAAAGGTGATGGAGCAAATGATGTTTGCAACGGCGTTAGTGATTTTGAAGTGAGGGTTGAAAGGATCCCCTGGAGAAGGAGAAGGAAATGATCAATTACGCTGTAGTCTTCACTGAGAGGAAGAAGAAAACACACTGGTCAGAGGTAATAGGAGTGAAATGAGTGACTGCTGATGGGCATCCTCCTATGTCATTGCTGCCTCTGGGATGTCCTTGTGTCTCCACGAGCGGGTCAAGCTGGTCTGGACAGCCCCAGCAGTCCCAGTTCAATCAGGTTATGGAGATATTTGTTTTCTTCAGAAAAGATGTCCTGCAGAAGTGTGGATGTCATTTGAATTCATTCACGTACAAGGGATTTGCCAGAATCTCCCACAAAGCAGCAGGCTGAAGGTGTGCTATAATTAACGTTCTGGGTGGGCAAAACCCCTGTGAAAGGGAGCTGGGATGCTGGCAGGGTGCTAGCACCGCTGGCAAGGAGAGGTGTTTGTCCCTGTCCTGGATTTAGCTAAAATCCTAGTTCTGTTTAGTGATTTTTACTTTCCAGTTTAATGTCTTCTAAAAGGCTGCACTTTCTGAAGTCAGCAGCATGTTTTTGCAGACAGTGTCTGCTACTGGCAGTGATAACACCTGATGTTTACAGTTACTGCCTAGGACTGGGATGCAGAAAGGCTCTTGCTGATACTTATTCCTACAGTGACCAAGGGCACTGCTGGCTCTTGTGTGCCGCGCTGGGGGTGCCGAGTAGTAAGACAGGTCACAAGGAAGTAAAAGGTTGCACCTCTGGGGGGTAATAGACAGGACAGGTGACCAACGAGAGTATTCCATCCCATATACGTCATATTTAGTCTAAACTGAGTGATCATGAGAGTTTTGTCCCTTTTTTCTGCAATGGCCGGTGTCCAGAGAGGACTCCATCTGACCTCCTGTGTTTGATCTAGATCCTGAGTTCCTGAATCCAGCTCCCTGTATCCAGCTCCCCACCGCCGCTGAGCCTGGGGCTTCCCCCGTGCCTCCTGCTCTGCAGCACCAGTGGGGATTGCTATTGGCCGGGGGGGAGGGGTGGTATTTAACGTATTTTAACTTTGTATATAGTTCTTTACTTTTATCATTTCACTATTATTTCCATTATTTCAGCAAAGCTGTTCTAGTTTTTCTTCTCTCACCCGTAAGTCTTTCTGCCTCATTCCGCTTTCTGTCCCATTTTGGGGGAGGGAAGAGGGGGTTAGAGAGCATCTGTCCATGTTAGTGGCCGGCCCAGCCCTAACCCGTGACAGTCAACATGCACTGAACCCTGAGTGAAATTACAATGGGCCATAGCGGTTCCTGCTTTCAGCTCGGCTCATGAGGGCCGTGGCACTCACCCTGCTCATCCTGAAACACATCCACGAGGCATCGGCACTCCTCCTGGATGCGCTCCTCCAGGCTCCTCTTCCCCAAGCCGAAATTTCGGAGGGTGGTCAAGGTGA